ACAACATGATCAGATACATTTCCAATCTGTTAATGGCCTGAAAGCCATTAGTTGTCTATATACGAGCTGAATACCAGGTAGGAAACACGCTGGAAAGAGCATCCAGCGTTTTACGGTACCTCCAAGTGCAGGTCTCAGCTGCAGGCAGGGGAATAACACACCCCTCATTTAGGTAATTTTACAGGAGCTGCTGCACTCTAGTTTGAAAATTAACTGAAGTCGCCAAAATCTCCTCCCAAAACCCCAGGAAAGGGAGCAGCATGAGGTGAAATATCTGATACCCGCGGCAGTTTGCTATTCCGGAGTTTGAGAGACAGGGAAGTCAAGGAAAGAGATGCTTTGTTGCCCTCTGCCGCTGGCTCGATGAAGATGCAAAGCAAATTTCCTCTGTAGCTTCACCCCTGTGAAGCCCATACAGCCACCACCAGCAGCATCGATGGTGTGGGATATGAGCCCAGCCAAATTCTGGCACAAACCCTCTGAGCTGTATCAGCCCAGTACGTGCAGACAGGGGAACTGCTGCGGTTTCGCTTCACTTGCTTGAATTTCTTTCCCATTACCCTACAAAACCAAGATTTGACTCCACACAACCCTGTTGGCAGTTGCTTGGTTCTGACTACACGAAATACCGAACAGCCTCTCTCTTTGTCATCCAGCTGAAAACCTGAACAACCACTTCGGGAATGGAAAAATCAATGCTGATAGGAATGGGCAAAAGAAAACCAAACAACCCCAAGCCAAAATCCAAGCAAGCCTGTAAAACTGCAGCAGGAAGAACTATCACGGACTGCCTGTAAGAGGCTGGAGCAAGAGACAGACGCAAGCAAAGCGTCTGCTGGGAATCACTGCAAACAGGGGAGCGCATCCGCCCAGCAGACGGCAAAGGAACAGCTAATCCCTGGGAAAATGTTAAAGGCAGCGCTGCTGCTACCAGCACCTGCACCGGGGACTTGCTCAGGCAGCTCTGCCTCCCATTCATGAAGAGAAGATTCCCTCGTGGCACCCTGCTCTTTGCTTTTAGGGGAGGAAAAAAAGAAAAGAAGAAAATAGGAAAAATTACAGCTAGGAATGCGAACCGGTCCATGAAGACCCCAAACCCTCTGTGAAGCTGAGGTTACCCAGGTGCCTGTTACACGGGAGCGGCTCTTGAGGAAGGTCCCACGAGCTCCTCAGGCAGCAGTGGCTCTGCTTTGTGCTGCGAGGGCTCCTCGTACTGATGGGGAGCAGCTTCTGCTTTCTGGCAAACACAGCATCCACGGGTTTGCAGTGAACGCACGGCTAAAAACGCTGCCCTTCAGGGGCTGAGGCCCTCCTCTGCCCCCCTGCTCGGACTTGGCGAGGTTGGGGCTACTCCCAGCTGTAACACTCAATGCTGTTAGAAAACACCCCACAAAAAACCCACTTGAACCCCGTAAAATCATAGAATGGTTTGGGTTGGGAGGGACCTTAAAGATCATCTAGCCCAACCCCAAATTTTTCATATTTTATTTTACGTTTTTTAAATATTTGATTATTTTACCCAAATTTGACCCAAGCTGAACATAGCACAGATGTTACTGCTCCATTGCAACAGACAGGCCTGAATTATCCCGAATACCTTAACGTGATGGGCATGGTCTCACACTGGGTTTTACTTCAGCACAGTTCTGGCTGCTACCTTCTCCATTTCGTACCTGGCACTTAATACTAAGGACAAGCACAAGAAAATTAAACTCATTTTCCCATGAGAGAGGCTGGATACATTAATGACCCAACAAGGGTCTTTTCCTTTGTTTAAGGGCTTACGTGGAAACAAAATTTCGGATCCTAAAATGCCTTAGAAACATCCCACTGGTCCCCACACAAAACCAAGCTCTGATCTGATGGGCAAGGTCCTGCTGTACAAAAATCCCTGCATTTCTGTAGCTTCTTGGCCCACAGAGATTGGCGTCAATTGGGCAGCACAACAGAAAAGCAGCAGTCGCAGCCCCGGTTGATCTGATCCGTACACACGCAGTCACACCACCAGTCAGGCCCGGGCAGTAATACATTGGCATGCACAGGGCTGGACACACCAGCACAATAAAATGCCTTTTCCTAAGGTCTCACGCAGCAGGGAAGCCAGGAATGAGCTCAGTTGCTTTATTATTTTTCACAAGAACAGGAAATACAATTTGAATACGGGTATTTTTTAAAACTAGATTTAATCAAGTGCATTTAGAAGGGAACTCGCCATTCGCTGTACACAAATGCAATCAATCTTCAACAGAAATTCCTTAGTAAGATTAAAACGTGAGACGTGGCACAAACGAGCAGCAAAAAAACCCAATTCCCCTGCGCAGCCAAGTGCGCAGAGCCTGAGAAACACCCAAGGCGAAGCTCTTCTGCAAAGCCATAAGCACAAGAGAGCAGAGAGCAAGCACGCATAGAACCAAGTGGCCACTTAGCAAAGTTTCCAACTGCCCTGATAGCATCCGATGGCCTCGTTATTAGGAAGCATTCGCTACAAACGCTGGCTTCAGCCTTAAGGCTCTGCCCCTGCTCCTGTCCCGCTGCTGGGAGCAGAATGGGCTTCTCCTCCTGCACCTCTCCACCACCTCCTCGACAAAGGTGACCACAAATCAGTGTTTCCACAGCTGCTCCCACGATTCTGAGCAGGACACACGATTATTTTCCTCTCCATACACTTTAAGATGTGGATGGATGCTGTACAGGGGAGCAGCGGTCCCAGCACTCAGCAGCAGAGACTGAGCGCGCTCGCACGAGGAACTGCGACTCAACCTGCCCCGTTTAAAGCAGCAAAATATGAGAGAAATGCTTTACCAACCTCGTTTACACTGAAGTAAATTAGGAAGAAATCTCCTCATCTCCTCCAGGGGCGGTGGAATTGTCCCAGAGGACGGTTGAGGGCAGATGGGGAAGGAAGAACAGTAAATTCCTCCTTCAGCACAAGCAAATACAGAAGAAAGTGCGTCTCCACACCCCAGCTGCTAAAGCTGACCTGACAGAAATGGGTAATTTTGGTCATGCCTGACAAAAGGGAAGGGCTGCAGCCTTTTTGTTGGTCCTACTGGATACCAATGGGCTTCGCTTTGGGGATTGAGACTATTATTAAAAAACAAACAAACAAAAAAACCAGCTGGAATTTATCTGTTTGAAGAACCCCAAGCTACTGACAGGGAATTGTCTGAGCAATTTTAAAAACCTGAACGATGCCTTCAAGTCAAACCATTGCATACTTCAATGTAAGTACCTTACTTACTGTTTAGAAATGTCAATACATAAAAAACTTCAAGCAGAACCGCTCCATAAAATCCATCTCGTGCTGTTTCAACAACTTGAAAGAACCTGGAGACGCCATAAAACATTAAAATCTATTTCCAAAGTTCTTGTTGCTTTGCTGCACACTGAGGAGGCCCCACACACGCAGGTTTGAAGATCAAAGTTCCTAGATAGGAGTTGTCATCGCTCTAATACCATTATAAAAGCCATTTCCAGGTAGCACGCACTCTTATCAGCAAGAGTAAATGTACAAAAGTACCTGAGCGCGTGAAATAAGGAAGGAGCTCACCAGAACACACAAGAAATCCTTAGCAGGAAATACAGAAGGAAAAAGCCTGCTATTGCCACGGCTCGTGCAAACTCCTGCAAACCTTTCACAGCCAGGAATGCAGTAAGGGCACAATATCACGATCTACTTTAAGAACTTGGAATTATTTGGACTTTTTTCATAAGCCGTCTCTTTTTTTTATAGAGAGAAATGTTCACACGCATTGTGGTGTAAGCCATTTATGCTGCTGTTTCACTTGAATCTGAAATTCACGTTTAGGTATCAATACAGCGATGCAGTAGAGCTGACCTCGGAAAAACACACACAGCGTGGATCCTTCTACAGAGGAATCAACCCATGGGATTCCTGAGTCCCTGTGCAATAAATACTATTTAAAGCTGCACTCTTAGGGAGGACTCAAATACTGCAGGGGGCTGGGAAAGCCCTTTTGTTCTGGAGAGGTTTTAGCCAGGGGCTCACACCACAACATCAACCAGGTCAGCAAGGGCCAACTGAGAATTTCCAGACACAAGCGACAGCTCAGAAATACTGAGGTGGTGAAATAGTGCTCCATTGTTACTGATACCCACCTCAAGCCATTCTCACGACAGGCAAAAGTTCACAGCAGAGATGAAGGGGTTATCTGCTTTAGGAACAAGTAGCTCAGTATCAATATCTAACTGCTATTAGCACTGCACCACTTCTGGAGCCAAAGAAAATGAGCAATCAATGTAAAACACTTGAATTTCACCTGGTTGAAAGCTCATTCCATCCATCAGATGAGGGTTTATTTTTTGTTTCCCTTTCTACAGTGCCCTGTGACAAGATAAGTAAAACACAGGAATAAAATGAGAAATGTGGGCTCCACGATGTCAATATTTAAATTAAATGCACCTCCCTTCAGGCCTTTTAGCAAAGGAACCGGGTGCAAATTTAACAACAGCCGTTAAAAAATCTTGCAAAAATGGATGACAGGGTAAAGACCTGGCACAAAACACAGCACGAGTTTTCTCTATCAGAACAACAGAAGTGAAAATTACAGCTCATCAGATGGATTTTCTAGAACGTCAGGAGAGTGCCTGCAATAAACGTAAAGTGCCACAGGGCAGCCTCGACAGCTGCGTTCAGGGAAAAGGAAAAGTCACAGGAATAAGCAAATGCCCCTAAAATAAGGAAATGTCATCACGGAAAGGTCTCCATGAGTTGGTCAGTGACTCAATGTCACCGCTTTCTGCTAATTCCTGTGTCAAGGTAAGGCCTCAACCCCTCAGGTAACACATCTGCACACTCATTTATCAAAACATTATTAGGGTAAGATTTTCAAATTCACTTTCAGAAGTGCTTTACCTTTATTTCCACAACCACATCAGTCACACACACAGACGCACGGTTACCGACTCGCACAACTCCCTGCAGTGACTCAACACTAGAGCAGAGGGGTCCGACAGATTCCCAGAGCAGTCTCTGGGGATTAATCACAACTGCCATCTTTCCAACCATCTCGCCAGCGCTCATCCACCCGGGAGCAGTCAAATTCAGATTTCCCCAGTTTCCTGTTCACTTCATTATGAAGAAGACACAACCACTGGGAGAAGTTATTTCTGCTGCTAGTATCGGGCTGATTTGCACGCAATCTGCAAACAGGGAAGAGGAGACAAATGTTACTTCTTTACAGCCAGCAACTTCAGTAAAGCAAGCAAGCAGACAGCACAAGGACAGCCAGAGTCGCCTTTTCTGCCACTGCAAGATGAGTCTCAGAGCGCCCAGAGGGGATCACAGAGATCAGTGGTTATCAGGGGTCCAACCTCTGCTATAAAATACCTATGGCTGCACTGGTTTCACTCAGTCAACTGGGGAAGACGCAGGAGTCAAAGAGCTTATCTATGATGTCTCTACTCGCCCTGGTGAGACCGCATCTGGAATATTGCGTCCAGTTCTGGGCCCCTCAGTTCAAGAAGGACAGGAACTGCTGGAGAGAGTCCAGCGTAGGGCTACAAAGATGATCAAGGGAGTGGAGCATCTCCCTTCTGAGGAGCAGCTGAGGGAGCTGGGGCTCTTTAGTTTGCAGAAGAGGAGACTGAGGGGAGACCTCATTCATGGTTATCAATATTTCAAGGGTGAGTGTCACGAGGATGGAGCCAGGCTCTTCTCGGGGACAAACAATGATAGGACAAGGGGTAACGGACACAAGCTGGAACACAGGAGGTTCCACTTCAATTGGAGAAGAAACTTCTTCTCAGTGAGGGTGACAGAGCCCTGGCCCAGGCTGCCCAGAGAGGTTGTGGAGTCTCCTTCTCTGCAGACATTCAAAACCCGCCTGGACGCCTTCCTGTGTAACCTCATCTGGGTGTTCCTGCTCCGGCAGGGGGATTGGACTGGATGAGCTTTGGAGGTCCCTTCCAATCCCTAACGGTCTGGGATTCTGTGATTCTGTGATAAAAAGCAAGAGGTGCGAGAGTTCACCAAACCACTGAATTAAAAAAAAGGTAGAATACTAAATGGAAAACAAGCAGCAGCTGTTTTGCCTGTTAAGTCAATAATTAGGTTTCCACCTTTTCTAGTTTCGCGTGTTCATCATCCAGAAAAGAGGAGTTGAAGCTTTTGAGAAACGAGTTGAGAGTTACAGGAATAGAAAACTTCATCAAACATCCCAGCCCATTTCGGTCTTTGCCTCTGCTGCTGAGGTTGCCAGTAAAGGGGATTTTCTGGGGTACAACACCTGCCTCCTGAAAGCCAAATTATTGCAAGTGTGGGTCTAATTCCACAACGGAGCACAAGTCCAGTTTGAACCAGAAAATCCCAGAATGGCCTCAGGGAGGCCTTGGAGGCAGCACACAACCTAATAGCACAATAAAAGGTATTTGTTTTCTGAGTAAGTGCATCTCTGATTTATGCAATAATGGAAGAAGCCCGTTGAGGTTAACAACAAACCCCAACTGCAGGAAGAGCTGCCGATATGCAAATACCTGTTGCAGCCCAGCGCTTCAGGCTAGCTCCTTCAGCAGCAGCCACCAGAAAGCCCTGAGGAAGCAACTCACCTTTCCCTCAGATCCTCGGCGCAGTGCTCGCAGGGGTAAAACTTGGAGAAGAGGTTGATGAACTCCCTCATCTCCTTCTGCTGGGCGCCGGTGGGGCGGTCGGGGTAGTACGCAGCCATGGTGTGCAGGAACGCCCAGGTGCTGCGGCCCAGTTGCTCGCTGTCGAGGGGACAGTCCGGTGGTGGCTCTTTGTCCTCCACAACCGCCGGGTCCTGAAGGAGGAGAGAGGGTTGTGAGGGGATGATGGCGTTTAGTGGGGAAACAGCGCCTTGGCACTCAGGTGGGAGGATGAGATGGGGGGACAGGTCCTTCACATCCTCTGCAGGGGAGAGCAACAGGGACCCCTTCACACCCAGTGGGGAGAATCATCTGATCATGAAGGTTAGAAAAAGCCTCTAATTATCAAGTCCAACCATCAACCCAACACCATGAAACCATGTCCTGAAGTGCCACGTCCACACGTTTTTTGAACCCCTTCAGGCAGGGTGGCTCCACCATTCCCTTGGGCAGCCTGTACCAATGCTTGAACTCTCTTTCAGTAAATAAATTTTTCCTAATATCCAATCTAACCCATAGACCCGGTGAGGAGAAGACAGAGGCCCCCTTCACACTCCCACATTTGGGAAACCCTGCCCCGGCCCTTTCACACTCTCAGGAGGGGGGCACACAGCCACATCACGCTT